AATCTCATATAGAAGGTGCAATCTGTAAAATTGGAGAAGATATGATGGAAGCAAGGATGAAGACAGGACACTGCTGCTAATATCATTATTGTTCATTATTTCTTAGGCCATAAATCGACAAACACTAAGCAGATATAGGACCTTTGATGAACCAGATTCTACTAGATCCATTTTGAAGTCCTGTAAGCAGTCTAGACACTAGTCACCTTGACTACTATTTGGTTGGATGGGCAAATAATAAATAGGTCTCAACTATAAGGGGTTAAGGCTGAATCATGTCTCTATCAAGGTGCAAGGAGATAAGAGAGTGCAGACATATGGATTTATACCAACATTAGTATCTTAACTCCATTAAACACCGTGTGGTCTTGTATTTATAATCACCGGTCAGGATTTCTAGGCCGCAATAGGCCGTTGCGGGGGATGACGGGATCGAGGGGTTTGGAAACCATAAAAGCCAAGCTCCTCGCTCTTTTGTTGTCCCAATTCTTGAACATCTCATCTATAGCTCCAACTTATATCACAATGGTTAAAGTTCTTCTGACTGGTATGTGATTTTAATCTGCCTTCGAACCTCAATCTAACTATCCGCTTTAGGAGGCAGTGGCTTCATCGCCGCTCACATTGTGGACATCCTGCTACAGCATGGGTATGTTTCAGCCACAATGAACGTACACATTCGAAGTTGAATATTGACAATTCTACTCTTAGTTTTGATACAGTTGTTACTGTTCGATCAGAGGAGAAGGGCAAACGGATAATCGAGGCTCACCCCGACGTGCCGAAGGAGAAGCTCTCTTATGTGATTGTCAAAGATGTAGCTAAGGATGGTGCATTTGATGAGGTTAGTAGAAGACATTTCCCCTAATAAATACGCAGCTAACGGAAATACGAAAGGCCGTCAAATCAAGCCCTCCCTTTGACTATGTTCTCCATACCGCATCTCCTTTCCATTTTAATGTTCAGGACCCTGTGAAAGACTTCCTTGACCCGGCTATCAAGGGGACGACTGGTATTTTGAAGGCAATCAAAGAATATGCCCCTAACGTGAAGCGAGTGGTCATCACATCATCTTACGCTGCTATGGTGAACGGCAAGCAGCACCCCAAGGTCTACAGTGAGAAAGAATGGAATCCGTTGACATGGGAGGAGGCCATGGACCACTCGCAAGTTTACCGTGGTAGCAAGGTAGGAAATTTGACGGTCAGTCTAAGTATTCAAGTGCTAAGTCAATTTCATACAGACTTTTGCAGAGAAAGCAGCTTGGGCCTTTGTCGAGAAGGAGAAGCCAAATTTCGATATTGCTACCATCAATCCACCACTGGTGTTTGGCCCGATCGTTCATTATCTCAACTCTCTTGAGACTATCAACACCTCAAACCAGCGCATGAGGAACCTCATTCAGGGTCAAATGAAGGACAAAATAGCCCCAACGGGCAATTTCCTGTGGGTGGATGTACGTGATGTGGCCCTCGCACATGTAAGAGCCATTGAAGTTCCCGAAGCAGGCGGCGAGAGATTCTTTGTCACCGCTGGTTTCTTCTCGAACAAGGAACTTGCGGATATTATTCGCGAGACTCACCCCCAGTTAGAGTCTAGGCTACCCCCTGTAGATTCTCCCAGCGACTTCCCGGCAAACATCTTTGGGATTGACAACAATAAGTCGCAAAAGGTCCTTGGACTCAAATATCTCCCACTTAAACAAACGGTGTCAGACACCGTTGATTCTCTTCTAGCTGTTGGTGTTTAAATTGTCAGTTGCCTCCGATGTTTTGCGTTTCATAGATCTAGATTAAATCGATGGATACTTGTAGGAACAAATCCAATTTTCTTCTTTGGCAATTACGTATACCAGAGCGATTTTAAACAACAGATTTTATCGAACGTTAGCTACATTCTACATCTTAGATTTAATAAAGATAATCTCCGTAGCAAAGATTGATCAAGGGTCTGTGGTACATTATATAGATACAAACTGCGGGTTAGGTCTTTGTGCCTCACCGTACCGCTTTGGCCCGTGTTCTCCGGTCAACTTTTCTCGCGCCAGCTATCCAAGATCACATAGTCAATCCATTAAACAAGATGGCCTCCGCCAGGCTGTCGCCAACGGCGAACTTGCTGCGAAAGTCGCGTTTATTCGCACTCCCCAAAACTCTCAATGTCCCCAGTGATCAAACCTCGAGAGAATCCGGCACCGCAACTCTGCCTCACCCCATCCGAGCCTCCATCGTTACACCGCAATCATCACTAGCCCGAGGCGATTGGGGATTGAAGCGACCTTTACCGGCCAAATCGACATCAGAGAAGTCATCAAGACCTGTGGTCAGGTTGCACGCCCTGGATACCTATGAACATGTCACCGACTTCGAATCCGCCGCAGATCACACTGTGACCCTCGAGAAGTTCCAGGAGATGCACATGCCTATGTCTCTCCCCTCCAAAGTCAATTATGCTACAAGTGTTGTCCCAAGGCATCAAAGTCCGTTCGAGACGCATCTTGATAACACCGAAACCAGCCAGGGTCTCCAGGAACCTGGTGCTAAACAATTCAGACACACCGGTCCTTGGCTTGCTGGGCAGACGGAGGCAGAGTTCGCAGCGTACTTGAAGCAAGTGACTCGCAATAAGCCTGAGCTTCTGAAGAAGCTTCGTGAACAGTTTATTGCGAAACGGTCTGCTGAGATCCGGAAGCTGGCACAGGATAATGGAGAGGACTTGGAGGCTCACCCCACAACTGTCACTGATGCGGAGTTCAATGCCTACATCAAGATTCTGCGTAATGATCCATTCGCTCTCGGTCCTGTGGTATTTGACCTCCTTGACCTCGCTTCCCCCCCTGCCGTTCCCAGCGAGCGTATTGGGCGCAAGTACTATCAGTCCCCTGGAACTAAACTGTCCTCATTCGAATACGCCGTCTCAGGGCCCCCGAAGACACACCCATCTGCCGGTCTGTCATACACACGATCACACGCTCTGATCCACAATCATGCCCAGTTTGGCCCACAGGCCCACCAGCGCCCCGTGGAGGCTCGCATCTTGCGCCCCAAGGGCCGCTTTAAGGGACGCATGGCTCGGGCCCTCGCAGGTATCGGTGGTATTGCTGTTGAAGATCTAAATGCCATGACCTTTGTGGAGCAAGGCACACCCCCTGGTCTGACTTTCTTCGATGCTTCCATCCCCGGTGGAGGTAAATACTGGGTTACTCCCATCCGGGCTTCGATCGACTCGGACGGCCGTATTGGCCTTTCATCTTATCGCGCGAGTGCAACCGCCAAGGCCCCTTACGGAATCGAAGATCACCACAAGCCGAGCACCTTGACTATTTCCGATGTTGCCACTGCCCCATCTCCGCTGGTCCCAAGATTGGACCGACAGTCCTTCGGCCAGCCTCGGTTCCAGCCTTCCACGGAGAACCGTACCCGGAGGCAACCCACGAGGGGAACAGAGGACGTCGCACGCAGCCTTCTCAATAACCTCAACTCTAGGTCATAGGGAAAACTGAAGTATGGGTGGATGTGCAAGGGATTGTACCATGTATGATAGATTTGGTGCTTGTGTAAAGCTACGTTCATTTTTCTTTTTTGACTATGTCATATAAATCGGATGCATCAATATCAAGTTTATTTTCACAGCGATGATTGCAAAAGGCTTATTTCCCACCGAAATAGAGAATAACAAGACAAAATAATTCACACTAATCGTACAAGGACATCTAATGTACAAATTTGCTACCTTCCTAAAACAGCAAGGGCCATCCATGGATCCATAACTACCGGATAAAATTATATAATCATGAATATGCAATATATCACGTGACGTATGGATTAGGGCCTAGGGCAAGGACCCGCACAGGACTAAGCGAAAGCCTGCTCTCAAACTCATCCAAATCGGCACGACGACTCTCGATCTTTCGAACATTCATTCCGCCAGCCAACAACCGCCAAAATGGGTCGCGTCCGTACCAAGACAGTCAAGCGCTCCGCTAAGGTCATCATCGAGCGTTACTACCCCAAGTTGACCCTCGACTTCGAGACCAACAAGCGTATCTGTGATGAGATCGCCATCATTGCCTCCAAGCGTCTTCGCAACAAGGTAAGATTCTATACAATCCAACCAACAATTGAGATGTCCAATTCTGATGCGCAATTTCTTCTAGATCGCTGGTTACACTACCCACTTGATGAAGCGCATCCAGCGTGGTCCCGTCCGCGGTATCTCCTTCAAGCTTCAGGAGGAGGAGCGTGAGCGCAAGGATCAGTACGTTCCTGAGGTCTCCGCTCTTGATGTCTCCCAGACCGAGTCCGGCCAGCTCGACGTTGATGCCGACACCAAGGACCTTCTCAAGTCCATGGGCGTAAGTTTTCTCTGCGCTACGATATCTTCGAATATATCTAATGTATATCTATAGTTCGACAACCTCAAGGTCAACGTTGTTGCCGTCAGCCAGCAGCAGCAGGCCGAGCGCCCCCGCCGTTTCGGTCCCCGCTAAATTTAGCGCCCGCAATAACGAAAAAAAAGTTCATACCTGGCCTACGGTCGATCCTTGGCGGTTACCCCGACAATGTCTGTTCTGGCTGGCTTTTCGCCCGGCTAGCATGGTTTAGCTTAGTGTGGAAGGCTATTCCTGGATGAGGAATGAATAAACATGATTCTCTTTGAGAAAGGTGTCGCTGATTCTCCGAAAGGAGATGACGCTTGATTGCCATTTTTTCCCCTCGTGTCTACCTATGAGTTAGCTCTCTGGGTCGGACTACGTAGGAGTTCTTGGACTGGGGACTATCTCGGTCTAAGTGACTCTAGAACCTTTGGTGGTCTGAGTCATGTCTGGATTTATACCTACATATTTATATGTACGTATGAGTTCTGCTGACCAGCCTATGGCCATACATAGGGTCTCTGTGTAGATGGTTCATTACTCATGTGTCAATGTCAACATTGATCGGGTATTAGAAAGTAGAACGCCGAAAACCCCGTTGGGATCCCATCGCAACCTGGCTGGATCAAATCTGATCGAGTAAATCTATGTCTCCATCTTGATCCACGCTTCGGTGCTCCCTGGGCACATATCCTTCGATGGAACCGCCATTTGCATCCTCCGGGCGCATTTGTGGAGCGCCAGGAGCCTGCTGCAAACCACGTTGATTCTCTTTGATATTGACGTTAACACGCCCATCCGGACGAATCGTGCTGGTATCACCGCGTTCCAAGGCAAGCTCCCGGGACCGATCGCGATTCCCAAGTCCCATGCTCTGCAAATCATCGACAACGGAGGATACACTGCTAGTAGCGGCTGGTGCCTTCAAGCGCTTGGCGCGAGCTTCTTCAAGCAGTAGAATACTCGTACCCCGCGTATCACCGGCCCGTCGTTCCCACACAGGCTTCTCGGAAAGCTGCACCCGGATCCAAAGAGCACGCTCTGCGCATGCATCTGAGCACCACTTTTCGACGCGGTCCTCAGAAACGATATCGACGCTGCGTCCACGCCCCCCTGGGCCACTTCCTTTGGGGCCGTATTTAAATTGGAATCCGCCTCCTGGGCCTCTGTTTCCCTTGCGATACTTGCGAGGACATAGAGTGTATCCGCACGAGTCTTCAAAATTTCGCTCCAGGATCAGATTGTCGTAGTCGCTGGGGCGGAATGGAGCCAGCGCATATTTGAATTTTATAGTATCTTCTTGAGATGGTGCGGCAGGGTCGGCAGTCGGGGGAGGAGGGGAGCTCGAGGAGCTCGAGAATGCGGTTTAAGATGATATCTTCGGCGTCTTTTTGGGTCTGAATCTGCTGTGCGTGTTCCAGAGCGATTTCGAGGTGCTGCTGAGTTGCTCCGGGCCTACCTTCTAGGTATTTATCTTGCTCTTCTTGTGTAGGGTATAGGTATGAAGGTGGGGGTTGCTGGGCATTGACGGCGGCATATGTCTCGGGAAGAGAGGTCTTAAGAGCGTGGCTTGGACCTGACTGTGCCATAATTTTGAATCGAGGCCCTGGAGGATGTATTGGAAGGTAAGCTGGATTGAAAATGGGTTGAGTTGTGAGCTGAGACGAAATAGAAAAAAAAAATAAAACCAGCAGAATTCGGGTCCAAAGCGGAAGAGGCAAAAACCCCCCGGGATCCCCAAATATGGGACACTTCACTGCTGACGTAGGCTTTGGGCCGTGACATGGGATCACATATGTAGTAGCTCATACATATTGTATATGTTGTACTTGGTACAATTTACGAATATTTCTCTATACAAGGTCGACATCTATATAGCTGTCCAGTTACCTAGTTACCTAGCTACCTAGCTACTTAATATCCACTGAAAACAAGTTAGACTACATATATGTAAAATGCGTTTAAAAATCATACAAACTTGAATTTCAACACATTTCCCCCCTCATGTGCGTGTTCCCTGGTTGATGTTAGCCGCCGATCGCTCAGTGGAGCCCATTTCCCTCATCCCGCCAAGTGACGACCACCTCTCTACATCCTCCCTACATTTTTCTTGTCTTTCTGACCCTGTTCTTTTCTTTTCATCTTGCAGTTCTTTGCTGGCCCTGGATAGGGTGTTCGGCTCTCCACGTGAGTACTTCCGTTCCCTCCCCCCATCTCCTAGTCGTAGGCACCCGCCCATTGACGTCGTCCGTTTTATCTAAGCTGACACCCCATCGTACCATAAAGGAATTGGTTCGTTTCGCTCTAAATATCGCATGCTACACGTATTGAAGTTGGCGAATTTCTCTGTACAGATATTCTAGCGTCATTGCGTCACAGACTCGTTCAGCATTCCTCACTCCACACCGATTATCTCAAAGTCTGAACCTGGGACTTGACTTGCCAGATGTCAGGTCCGCCCTTTACGGTCCGCTCGGTCTTCGAGTATGCTTCGGGCCACGATGACGATCTCAACTTCCCGATCGGTCAAATCGTGACCGTCACCGCCCTGGAGGACGACGATTGGTACTACGGTGAATACTCAGACGCCCAGGGGGCCAAGCAGGAAGGCATCTTCCCGAAAAACTTCGTTGAGAAATATGATCCTCCGGCCCCTCCGAGACCGTCTCGACCCAGACCCAAAAAGGAGCCCGAGCCGGTGCCAGTCGAGTCCCCCGTGGTCGAAAGCAAGCAGGCTGAGCCCGAACCCGAGGCAGAGGTGCAGCCCACCGAGGAAGAATATGAGATTGCATCCCCGCAGTCACCTCTGACCCAGTCCCCTCCTCCACGTGCGAGTGCCCCTATAGCAGAAGCTGCATCCTCGCCCCCGCAGCCGGCAAAGGCGCCCGCTCCCGCCCCTCCCGTGGCCCCAACTGAATCCGCAGCCAAAGCACCCTCAAAACCCGCACCTCCAGCTGTAGTGGAGAAGCCTTCGGGGTCCTCGTTCAGGGATCGCATTGCTGCCTTCAATAAACCTGCAGCAGCACCAGTTACGCCGTTCAAACCGGGCGGTTCCCAGCCATCCTTTATCAAGAAGCCTTTCGTCGCGCCGCCTCCTAGCCGGGACGCCTACAAGCCTCCACCAAGAGAGCCCGCACCCAAGATCTACAAAAGAGACGAGGATCCCGATGTGAAGGAACAACTTGCCCGCGAGCCCCCGGTCTCTGAAAGCCGACCTGCTCCCGTTGAAGGCGAAGAGGGCGCGGAGGACCAGCCCAAGCCAACTAGTCTGAAGGATCGGATTGCGTTGCTCCAGAAGCAGCAATTAGAGCAAGCTCAACGTCATGCCGAAGCAGCTCAGAAGAAAGAAAAGCCCTCCCGCCCTGCTCCTAAGAAGTCGATGGATGAACCTGTGGCTCCCACAGTCCTCGGCGAGGAACAAGAGACATCCTCTGTCGAAGAATCATCGGCTGTCCGAGATCCTAGTGCTGATACATTGAGGGCTGCGGCCCCTCCGCTGCCCGCTGCCCCATTCTCGCCCACCCAAGAAGTAGCGAGTGATGCCAATGACGCCGACTACTCCGCTGCTGCAGACTCCGAGGATGCAGGCGAAACATCCACTAGTAAGGATGATGAGGAAGATCAGCCCCAGCCTCGTCCGGTCTCCCAGCGTCAACAGTCGACTCGCGCAGTTGAGCAAACTGCCGAGGCAGAAGTTGAAGACCATGGCGAAGTAGAAGATGAGGAAGAGGAAATGGATCCTGAAACCAAGCGTAGAATGGAACTGCGTGAGCGAATGGCCAAGATGAGCGGCGGCATGGGTATGATGGGTCTCTTCGGCCCGCCGGCCGGAGGTATGCCAGGCATGTCTGGTGCCGGTGGTGCTCGCAAGCCCAAGACTCCCGGCGAGTCAGAGAAGAGGCTCGGTGAGCTCGAATCTGAGCCCACTTCGCCTGGCAATGCACCCCCGGTTCCTATGATTCCCCTTCCTGGAATGAACGTGGCTAGCAAGCCGGTGCCTTCTTCTAGTGAAGTGGAGAAAGAAGAGGAGGAGCCTTTGGCAACTCCTCTCGCGGAACAACACCCTGCACGCGAGGTGCCAGACGTCGAGGAGGTCGTCCACGAAGGTGCACTGCCCCGCGGTTCCATTGATCGCCCGGTCCCGGCGCCCCCATCCCAGGGTAAGCTATTCTCTAGCAGTCTAATGCATGGTTTCAATTCCTGACATCTACAGATCGTTCGGCACCTCCGCCTCCTCGAGAGTCAAGACCCGTCCCGACTGTCCCAGGTGAGCCACCGGCTTCCCTCCGCCGGTTCCTGGAGGTAAGTGCCCAGATCCCGATACAATTTACTTGACATAGGCGTTGACGATCATAGCATACACAGGCCGACCAGTTCCTCCTCTACCACGGCCCTCAACTGCTGATAAGGGTGACGAGTCTGATGATGAATTGTCGGTGCACACATCTAGTCTGTCGTTGAATACCTCGGTTGCTCCACCACCGGCCGTGCCTGCACCTGCGATACCTGATCAGATTGACTCTCGCCGTGCCGAAACATATGACCCCCTGTCCTCTGCCGCTTCAACCCCTGCGGCCGAAAAGAGAGCTAGTCGTCTACCACCTCCCATTCCAGTCAATCCACCCATGCCACCATCATCGCAGGGCCGCGCTCCCCCGCCCCCGCCCCCAGATCAGCTCCGTCGCCGGTCTACCGCTGATAGTCGCATGAGTGCGTTATCCACCCCTCGACAGGCTGGAGAAGAAGCGGAAGGAGAGGTGACTGAATATGATGGAGATTACGACACTGATATTGCGTCGGGAGTGAAACACAAGGATGCTCTGAAAGCCCACGAACGTGACTCCGGCTTTGACGAGGGTATTCCCACCGACGACCATTCCATTCAGTCCCCGCGCAGCCCCCAGGAATCCCGGCATCCCCCACCTCCTCCACCCACGGCTCCTAGGGCAGTTCCGCCTCCACCCCCAAATCAGCCGCCCCGGAATGCCCGTGCGTCTATTGACACACCTAGGGGACCGCCTCCTCCTCCCCCGCCCAGAGATCTCGTCAGCGATGACGATGTTGAGTATGACCCTTTCAACTACTCCGCTCCCCGACATGGTCTCCCCACATCTCCACCCCTCCCGCTCGGTCGCCCAGAGGCTCCTCCTCCTGTCCCACCGCAACAAGCGGCCGATGAATACGACGATCTCTATGATGCACCCGTTGTGCAGAGCCCGGTAAAAGAAAGACCCTCTCCATTGCATGAGAAGCGTCTTTCACTGGCGCCTCTGCCTCCCCAAAGCCAGGCTTCGGGTTTGCCATCTCCGTCCGCGGCCCGAACCCAGCGCGCATCTATGGATCTTCTAAGAAATCAGCCTAACGTTCGTCGGTCTATGGATGTTTCTCGTCCATCTATTGACCAAGGCTATATCGCCACCGATGTTGATTTCGCCGAGTATACCCTCTGGTGGACTAAACCCAACACCCCGCCTCCAGCGTTCCAGAATCGCACTGATCTACTTTTCGAGGTCGAGGAGACTGCATCCACGAACCGTGGCGGCAAAACTACAGTCTCGAAGGATGTCTATATCCTGTTCCTCGATTACTCCCAAACAGTCTTGAATGTCCAATTTGACCCCAAGAACCCCGCAGATGCTTCTTTCGAGCAGCGTCATGAACCCCCGCCGCTCCCGCTTCGTCAGGACCAGCTCGAGCAGGCTCATCTTCAGCTTGGAACGCGAATCTCCGAAGCCGTCAACTCGATCCAAAACAGCACTGTTGGAGACGGCACTCCGTTCGGGCTAGTCCAGTACCTGCTCAATCCCCTTTCGGACGCGCTGCTTCCTGTGGGGACCCGCGGGTACGGTTCCTTGGTTTATTCCAATCTGGCCAATGCCTCCGTGTCTCAGAATGATGAAATCCGCGCCGGTGACATTGTCAGCTTCCGCAATGCCCGATTCCAGGGCCACCGCGGCACCATGCACCAGAAGTACAGCGCCGAGGTTGGAAAACCTGACCACGTCGGCATCGTAGTCGATTGGGATGGCACAAAGAAGAAGATCCGAGCCTGGGAGCAAGGCCGTGAGAGCAAGAAGGTCAAGATGGAGAGCTTCAAGCTCAACGACCTCCGCAGTGGCGAATGCAAGGTCTGGCGAGTGATGCCCCGTAGCTGGGTGGGCTGGGAAGCCAGTAAGTAACTGAACGAAAGGATTCTGGGTTGAGAATTCGACTTTTCTTTTTGTTGCAGTTGCGCTATGAGCAGACGACCGTTTCTTTTGTGTGTTTTTTCTTTTGCTTGCCCCCTTCTAGATTGGGTGGGATCATGTATGAATGAAAAGGAGCCTCCTTTCTCCCCTGTCTTCTATATTCTTCTCCCTTTTCTCTTTTCTTGTCCTGCTCCCTCTTGTGAATCATCCGGACTTGGTGTGGTAATATGAGATTGGTGGTCCCTGTTTGATGGAGAGCTGAGCGAGCGTGCAGCTTTTCTTTTTTGTTTTTGTCAATGGTACATCTTGCATGGTTCTATCCGAGCAGACTATGAGATACTATTCTCTTTGGTCTATAGATTGTCACAGGTTCGTTTGTATAAATTTCCAACGTTGGAAAG